AATCGTCGAATCACCGTTAGAGAAGTTGCTGAGGACCTAAACATATCGATTAGCTCGTGTCATTCGATTTTTACTAATGATTTGAGCATGAGACGGTTCGCCGCGAAATTCGTACCAACGCCTTTGCTCACACATCGTTGCTTGTGCGCGAATTTTTGGCCAAAAACAACACACTAATGATGCCGCAGCCACCGTATTCCCCAGACCTGGCCCCCTGTGACTTTTTCTTGTTCCCGAAACTGAAGAGGCACATGAAAGGACGACGCTACGCTACGATTGAGGAGATAAAGACGGCATCGAAGGAGGAGCTGAACAAGATCACAAAAAATGATTTTTTGAAGTGCTTCGAGGATTGGAAAAAACGTTGGCACAAGTGTATAATATCTGATGGGGATTACTTTGAAGGAGACAAAATAGATATTCATGAATAAATAAATAATTTTTGAAAAAACACAAAATTCGCGATACTTTTTGAACAGACCTCGTACATCCCACAACAACCTATCGCAAGTGCATGGAGAAAAAAGATTTCTTCAGATTTGGCATTTCCATTTATTTGACTAAAATTTGTTTCGCAGAAACAACGTATGCTTGTACGAAATATGATTTGTTTCGGCAAAAATTTTATCGTCTCATTTAAGAAAACTCAATTATTCAACCGAAAGAACGCCATTATTCGAATATCTTCCAATAAAATAAAATATTATCCGGCCGCAATAAATATGTGAAATGAAACGAGTAATTTCTTTGTGAGAAAATTATCCTTCGTTTCAAACAGATTTTTTATTTGAGATAAGGATATGTATTCGTTTAAAAAGATCGTACTTATTAATAAATATAAAATTGGTTAAATCTGAAAAAATCTTTTCCTCGGTGTGCCAATTTGCTCGAAGATCAAGTAGATCCTTCCGTCGACGTCGGGACAATAGTCGGGATTCCAATTGTGCGGCCGCACACTACATTCGAAAATAGACGATCTTTTTGCGAATGAGCAAAACGAGAGTGCGCGAACGAACACCTTGGACACGTGACGCAAGCGGTCGCGGTACCGGAGCATGTGTGTCACGCTTTACACCGCTTTGCACCGGAATTTCGTTCAGATTATAGACCACATTTCGTTGCCTCTTCACGCACTTCTCGCACGTCACGTTGCACACACGCGATTCTTTAAATTACCGCCATCATGTATCGCATGCGTTTATACACGTGAGAAAGAGATTTTTTACACACCCTTACATATTCTCGAAATATTCGACGTACCAAGTCGCGAAGTATCGCGTTATAATAAATTTCCGAGACGGATATTTTGATACGAACTGATCGTAGTTGATTCTTCAAGAATCCTTCGGATATTCAGATTTTGTAATTCCGTACGTATTCTATAAAATGAATTCTTTAGGAAATTCTATTCATCTCCGTGCCATCGGTAACTTTGCTAATCGCAATAGTAATAATTAATTCTGATATTTATACGCGGAAAAGATGCTATTGAGTTGATAAAATTTCCGACAGCGCGCGTAATTGAAGTAAATCTTCTTTATTCTCAATAGCAATCCCTACATAGCAGGTAATACCACAGTAATATTGCGATATCGCGGAAATATTACGCGTTATAGTAAAATATTGTAGCAATATCATTAATATACTATACGTTTGTAACTAATATTGAAGTATTACAGTAATATTGCTGCAATATGTCATATTCCAAATAGCCAAGTGATTACAAATGGCATTTTAATTATGTCTTATTGACGATAGAGATATGTTATATCGAGCAAATTATCTTCCGAAATTCAAATAGAGACATTGAAACGAAGTAATATAATATATATTTAAATGTTATTTAATAAAAATATTGTCTATGTTTTTAAGCGTAGGAAATTCTAAAAAAATATCTTAATTGTAAGGTTTATTGGTTTTCGTGGTAATTTGATATTATATTTGTTAAGTCAATCTCCTCTCTGCCTCTTTCTTTAGTTTAATGCGACGTTTCATCTTAAAAGGGATGAAAATAGTTTGTTAATGTATATTATATTCATACTCATGTCAACTATTTATGTATTGCTTTTAATATCTGTCAGTAAATATGTTATTACATGTTTATGAGCACAATAAGGATACATTATATAAGCACAAGTCGCAAGGATATCGTCAGAATCGGTAGAGTCAGTGGTTGCCGTCCAATCGGCCAAAGTTCAGCAACAGCGAGCAAGATTAGTAATTGAGTGGATGACTGATCTCCGGTCAGAATAAAAACCACGTCACGGACGTGTAAAATGATTTCTTTTTCTCTCGTATAAGTAATAAAACTACTGAAAAACAATAATTTATCAATTTGTCACAGCTAGTAGTACTTTTTCCTAAGGGAATATAATTGTGAAGTGTCACTGTAATATTACTGTGATTCGTTTTGGCGAACATTTCAATATCACTGTGATATCTTGGTAATATTGTGGCAATATTTTTGCTATATTACATTGCAATGGAAATGCGTTATTGCTGTGATATCGCCGTGAAAATATCATTAGAGTTGATACCTAAGTTATTGAACAAATATATATGAACAATATATGACCATAATATATCATTGCATCGTGCGATTCACACAATCTAACGTCATTCGGCTGAAAGCTATCACGAGACCGGACACGACAACAATACGACAACGCTCTCCTACTGAGTCATCATCGCCCGAAGTGTCACCGCTTCGCGGCGGTTGTTTATATTTAAATCGTCTTTGATCCAAACTCGTCGTACAATTTGGCAGGATTCTCCGCGCTGCGCTTAGCGACGTTCAATTTCTCCCGCCGGGAGAAGCGATGACGATGAGCGATAAAGAGCATCGCGCGTCACGTAGTTCTCGCCAGCGATAAGTCATAACTATGAGTTATAGCCATGACTGGCAAGATTGAATCTCGGCTCGAATTGGTGGGTTTTCTTTTTTTCTCGCGAAATGGCTGACTGTCGCAAAATTCTCCGACTCTGTAAACGTACACTCGAAGTAAGATGCGTTTCGCATATTTACTCAATTTCTTGAAGTGAAGTTTCACTCGAGAAGTAGAATAACGGTCGAGTCACTCAAGTCATTTTTCATTTTCACATAGAGCGAACGCTTCCCTCTGAATCGTCAAACGAATATCTTCACTTGAAATTGAAGAACGAATCTAACGTATATTTTACCTTCGTAAGTAAATAAATTCAAATAAATTAATTCACTCCAATCAGTTGAAGCATTCACTTGTATGAAGTCAGGATCTGCTCTGAATGAAATTCATTCGCTCTTACGATTCGAAGTGACAGCGATTTCGTTACCGCTTCACGTGAATTTCTATACGTTTTAAATCAGATTTTATTCTGTGAAATTTAGAGAGCATTTTTCCGTTTTGACCATAGTTTCGATCAAAATGCTATTATTGCAGTGTTCCATTGTCGATTACAGAACATCATCCTAGAAATCTCGATTGCTGTTTACGCGGCGATAACGAAGAAAGACGTATTTCGCTTTTTCGTTTCCTTAAATAACATTCCGCCAATTCAAGGTAAAAGAGCACAAAATTATACCCGGTGGGAATGCAGCGATGCGCAGTATTTTTCCTCGATAAATATCGCCAAGCGGCTACGCGTCGTCCCGATGCGTGCGCTTCGATTATTTAAATTATACTAATTTTACCTAAATTATTTTATTTTTACTTGTTTAATAAAAATATATAAAAATATCTGGTAATGTATATATATCTAATATATAATATATAATGTCTTCCGAAATATTTCGTAATATATTTCTAGGGAATTATTTGTATTCTTTAGAGTTAAATAAAGAAATAAGTAAATCCATAAAGTTTATGTTGTTATGTAAACGTTAATATATATTAACACTTTCACGCTCACCTATAAGTAGTCGCGACATCATTGCTGCCATACCCTTAGTAAGATCATAAATGTACAGCTCCACTGTCGTTCTCATATCCTCCGTGTTCTCCATCTTTGCCGCCTGAGAAAAAATAAAACCTTAGCTACAGTTTTTAGAGTAAATAAGAGAAGCAACTAGAACCTTAAAATATTACTCAGTAATCAATTTTCAACTATCAATTTAATTTCAAACATTATTTCGTTTTCTCTCAAGATATTTTCAAAAGGAAAAATTTTTTCCAATATGTTTCAGACAAAAGTATTATAGCTTCGAAGGGAAAAGATAATGACATTATCAATTTAATTATAGATGGCGCGACTTTCGAGATTATTCTTAGTGTATATAGGTGTGCCAACATACTTTAGCGATTTTTGTTGTCCTATCGGATGTAACGACTCGGGGACGTAAATATATCTCTCGTCTCAGAGCGCAGAGAGAGAAAACGTGTATCCACACCAGCCCGTATGTGACAGAGTGTCTCTCTCAAAAACACGTTACGATGCGTTTCTCAATGGGAATGACGAGATAGCGTGTCGGTCACGAAGTCGGTTCCGAAGCAGCTTTTAAAATATCCCTCGCTCTTAATCGACGACGACGTATTAAGAAAAGGCACTGAGTGTCAAAAATGAAAATCTCGAGTCAAACTCTTTTGCAAGATAATTTTCGTTAATTTGGAGTAGCGCGTGTATTATGACAAAAATATATTCTTCACCGGTACACGAAAAAGCGTCAGTTGATTGAACAAATTCGGAAATCCTCGGAAGGAATTCATTTTATTCCACGAGATTCAGAAAATTCTCATCGCACCTCGGAGAAAGATACGCAATGAATAATCCGAGAAATGATAACTAGTTTTTATTTCACAACATCAGCGTTGGCTCTGACATGCAAAGTTTAAGTCGAATGTGAAAATAATTCAGAGAGTGTGACACTCGCGACCTATTTTGGCGTCGAGCCTTTGATCACAGCAAACGTTTGCGTGACGACTGGACCGCGTATTTTGCAAATTGTCCCCGTCCCTAACACTCTGTACGTGCATTACGAGATCGAAGCGTTATGAGCTATGCGCATGACGCGAGGCTATGATGAATCAGCAATTTGAACGCGTTTATGTACATATAGGACGATGTTGAATGATCGTTAAGCGATCGCTATATTCCTCCAGTGAACTTACAATATAATTCATGCTGATTGCGATCCACTTGGGATAAATTCAATATCTGATTAACGAAAGAAAGAAGAGACTCATACCAACCACAAAGCACTGGTTAAGCAGCTAGCTTGGAAATTTCGAAAGGAAAGATGAACAAAATATAAATCGTTTAGAGTAAATGAATAAGGATGATAAACAAACAATACGGAGGAGGAAGGAAAGAGAGAGAGAGAGAGACAAAACGCGACACGTGTAACAGCTTACCTTCTTGCTTTCACTGACGGTCAACAGGATAGATTATCGATCGCGAGTTATGTGAAAGGGGAGGGGGCGGAATAGACACACGAGAGAGGTGCAAACCTCCTGGCGAACAATCGGGAAAGTCGGCCACGAAGCCGCCGGCAACGACAACGACGAAGAACTGACGATGACCGACGCGATGAAGCGCGACAACGAGAACTCGACTGGTGGCCACGGTATTCCTCGGGATGCGTACCTCGCGTTAGATGGCTACCGGCTAGCAAATGCAACTGATCGCTGCTCGAGAAATCCTCGTCGGAGTCTCGCTTCCGGCGAGCGGAGTTCCTCGCGCACGGCGCAGTAGTCGTTCTTGGCAGGAAGAAACGGCGAAGAGGACCGTAGCAGAGGCAGCAGCGTCCGGCTGCGTCTACTTCGGCCAGCAGGCTCGATCGTGAATCTTTCTGTTATTATCGTGGATTAGCTAATTAAAAGTCACATTTTTTCGACATGAAAATATAACATGGAAATGCCATTCATTTCTCATGAATTCATTTAATTTAATTTAATTCATTTTATCAATGTAAATTGTCTTCTCGTTTCACAATGCGTCACACGTGGGAGTCGGATGTCGCACTGGTCGTCTGTTATTTTATAATTGTATGTCAGATGTGAATACGACGAGCCATTCTACGATTAAGTCGCGGCAAGTCGCAAGTTGCAATAAAACATAAAGTTAAAACAGTGAAGGTATGTTGTTAAATTATACAAATTATTTGAAAGATCTAGTAGGATAAGTGCAGTAAAATTGCACTCGAAGATAATATCATATAAGACGGGTTCTAACCCAGGAGCTCCGAGGGAAGTGCAAAGAGGGAGGTTACCGCGCGGAGCGTGAGGATTGACGTCACGCGGAGGAAGGGGGATGCGCACGGTGGACATGGACCATTGCGAAGATCCGGAATGAAGAAGAGCCTGCAATGACGGAAGTAGACAGTAATTTTGAAACAATGAATACAAATTCATCCAAGATTCATCCATCTATTAATCCATCTATTAATAATAGATGGTTATATATGTCCGCTCCTAATAATATTTAAAAGTAATATTATTTAGTGTTATTGTAATATTACATATTTTTCAAATATTCAACTCCGTACATATATATATATATATATATTATGTAATTGTAGTTTTTTATTTCAAATGTATTGCAATAACAATTATTTTATTATATAAATAAAGTCGAAATAATTTTATGTAAAAATATGTTTCATACTAAAAAACTATACATATATACATATATATATGTATGTATATATATGTATATAATATATATGTTTTATTTATATATATTTATTTATATATTTTTTTATATATTATCCTATATTATTTTTTTTATATTCTAAAAATATTCCTATAATATTAAAAAATATGACATAACATTCTTATTATAAGAATATTATTTTAATATTGAATAATATTCATATAATATTCTAGGGATATTCTAGGGATATCACGCGCTTATAGGGATCCCTTTTAAGTTCAATACATTGATCACATCTCTTTGGTAGCATCTGTGTATCTTTAAAATAATAATCTTCTTCTTTAGCAGTGGCAAAATGGACATCAACGGCTGCTTGGATCTCTTTATCGGTCTTAAACCTCCTCCCTCGTAAATCAGATTTCAATTTTGCGAACAGATAATAGTCGCTGGGGGCCAAGTCTGGGCTGCAGGGTGGGTAGGAGATTTCTTTAAGCCCGCATTCCTTCACAGCGATCTTGGCAATAATGGCTGTATACACAGATGCATTTTCGTCGAGTAAACGAACACCCGGAGCCAGCTTTCCCTGTCTTTTTTCCTCAATGGCGTCTTGCAAACGGTACAGTAGAGTTGTATATAGAGCATGTTCGGAAAGAGATTCGGGGAAATATTTCGAGGTACGATACCAGAAAGGATCTCGTCCTTGAATATTTGTCCGAGTATCTCTTCAATCGCGCCTACAGTTGCCTGGAATGAATCGAAGTCTGCTGTTATCGCAGAACAATATCCTCCGATATTCACCTCTGAAGAGCAACCAGGGACGTCCGAACAAGAACCAAGTACTAGCGCTACTTAAAAACATGTACTTGTGTGCATTTTTTACACAGTATCGTTTTCTACATTGGTACATTGATGTTTGTTTTTTTCTTATCGATATTAATATAATCATTACATTTGTTAATTGGGACGCGTATCAGTTGCCCACGGGATGATTGGATACAATCCAATCACAAGTCGCTATTCCGAGGAACTCTAGGCGCACGATGCTATGGTTGGCTGAATCCGATCGTCTCGTGAGCAAACGTTCTCCTCTTAATTGACGACATCAAAACACCTTACTGGATTAAAAAATCTATCAGTCTGAAACGTATTTTTACACAAAATTTTTTCGATTTTATTTATATAATAAAGCAATTGGTATTGCAATACATTTTAAATAAAAAACTACAATTATACAGGGTATCCCAAACTAATTTCGATTCCCGTGGTGTGCAAGTAGAACGGGTGAAACTGAGTAGAAAAATTCTATGCCATTTTGCAAACAACACGTAAAATTTCGAATAATCAATGATTGAAATTGGTTATTTATAGAGGCTTCTTCAATTAATAACTGAACAATTTGCGTGTTATTTGCAAAATAGTGCGAGACTTTTTTGCTCAGAATAGTCTAAACTACAAATATATGACAATTGTACCTAACGACATCAGTATATTGAATCTCGATCGTTAGGTACAATAGTTAGGTACAGTAGTAATGGATAATTCAAAATTCCGAGTGTTATTTGCAAAATAAAGGATTTTTTGGTTCAATTCAACCCATTCTACTTGCACACCACGGGAACCGAGATTAGTTTGCGACGCACTGTATATATTATATATATATATACGTGGAATTAAATATTTAAAAAATATATAATATTACAATAACATTAAATAATATTATTTTTTTAAATATTATTAGGAGCAGACATATAACTATCTATTAATATTCCAGAAATATGATTTAATATTAAATAATATTATTAGAATATTGTTAGAATATTACGTCTAATATCCTAAGAATATGCCCGGAATATTACTTAATGTTAAATAATATTGCGCGCTTATAAAACTCGAATACGATACGTCCGACGTGAAAGTACCTGACCGCAGGCACCGAGGGAATCCTCATCGGGCTTCGAAAGTGTACGCGAGAGGACGCCGAACGGCGCGACGCGCGACCACGCTACGCGAGACGCGAGCCAACCGATTTTCGAGCATGACGTTGCACGGCGTATCGACGGCGAGAGCTTTCGAAAAACCGCTGAACGGCGCTCCGAGGGTCGGCGCTTGACCCGACAGTGCAGCGCCGTAACGCAGGTTGCATAGTGCGTGGAGTGTATACGTCCGTTGCGAGAGAAAACGCTGCTACAACACGAAGTACAACGCGAAGCCTGTCCTTTCTTTTTCTTCGTCTTCTCGTCCTCTCATCGTCTCTCTCTCTCTCGTCGTCTTCGTCGGCGTTACGGAACCTCACTCGTCGTCGCGCGATCGTCGTCGTTGTCGCGCGTGCAATCGTGAAATTCGATACATGGTATTCAACGACAACGAGAAAGGAGAGAGGAAACCCCGTGTGTGAGAAAAAAGAGCGGAGTCGCGAGAATAAGCAGGAGAACACGGCATAAAGCGGGGTCTACAATGAGAATTTAAGGCGTCAGATTTGAGAAATTGACCAATCATAATTGGTTTTTCTTCTATAATTCGACTGTAATTGGTCAATTTCTTAAAGCTTAAAACACTTACTATAGACTAAGTGCCTGTCCACAATAAGTATTTCAAGTCTTCAGAAATTGACCAATCACAGTTAATTATTCTCTTCATATTCGACTATGATTGTCAATTTCTTAAGACTTAAAATACCTATTGTAGACATTAAAGCGGTATCTACAATGAGAATTTAAGCCGTAAGATTTCAGAAACTGGCCAATCACGATTGACTTTTCCTCTATAATTCGACCGTGATTGGCCAACTTCTTAAGTCTCGTGCCTTGAATTCTCATTGCAGACCCGGCTGTAGACGCTTCGGCGAATTGTTCACCAGTAAATTCACCTGGACGAGTCCCCTCGTGTGACGACGTGCTCAGAAGACTCGATCCGCTCGCTCGTCGCGGCCGGTCACTGGCAGGGCTGGTCGCCTAGTCGGTGAAATCTCGTTCTCGAAGAGGAATCGCCGAACTCGACTGGACTCTCGCCTCGCTCTCAGCTGACAGGGACCCTAACTTTCTCTCTCTCTTTCTCTCTCTCCCCCCCCCTTCCCCTCTCTCTCGCTCGCTTATTCGCGTGCTCGCGAGAGAACGCACGGTGGGAGGACACGCGCGCGATCGCAGCAGCAACGGTGTCGAACTGAGATCGTTGATCATCGGTGGTCGGCGTTATATCGCTCGTCGCCGGGAATCATCGCGTGTTGCATCACTTCGATATATTCTTCGGTATCCACCCGCCGCAAGCACGCCGAGCGGCGCGACGCGCGAGGAATCGTCGCTCATCGCGCAGAGATCGCTGTGCGGCGACGAGGAGACGAGAGGTTAGGGCGGCCCCAGCCGGGACGACGTTGACTCGACAGTTTTTCTCTCGCTCGCTCCCCCGGAGCGTCGTCACGCCGCGCGTGCGACTAGGGACTTTGGCGGCGCGTTCACGCACGGTGTGCGTATACGCGGAGCGGTCGGGAACAGCTGATGCTTCAACGGCACCGGCGAGATGTCAAAATCCAGGCAATTTGTAAGTGAACGATGAACAACTGGACGGTCGGTTGGATCGTGAACGGCCCGATCGCGGGGTTTCACGCTTCTCCTTGCGATCTGTGCGTGTGTGGGTCTGTGTGTACCGCGCGAACGGATCGTGTTCTATTGTAGTACCGTGCGTGCTGAAAAAAATTCCCAGCTGAAAGCTGCGGGGGGATCAACGTTTGAACTTTTCGCGTGATATTATTGTTATTTGCTCTCACACATACACACACACACACGCGCATACACACTCTCTTTTTCACACACACACACACACACACACACACACACACCACACACACACACACACACACACACACACAATATGCATCCCCGTCTACTTGTGCTTTCATTAATCGCAGCGACAACGTTAGAATCGGATCCACGCGCTCTTCCGCAGCGATCTATTTTCGTGACTTGACAGTTCCTCGAACATGCACGATTGATTGTATAATTATGTAACTTTTTTTACGGAAAATTTGAGAAATCAAATGCCACTTCACACTAAGATCGTTGTGCTTTTGTTTGAGACTTATTTGAGATTTGTATGATACGTTACATGTTTCATCATTGATTTAATTTCGTTATGCAATGTTTGGACAGTATCATTTCCGTTAGATAAATGTATACTTGTCTACTTGTGTTTGTCTGCAGACTCTGCGTGTGCAGTCATCAGAGGGAACAAAACGTATAGAAGTGCAGGCTTCTGATACGCTAACTCGTCTTTATGAAAAAGTATATCTCTCTTAATCTTTCTGCGATAATCGCACTTCCATGAATATGTATAACTTATCCTATTTTTGCATTTCTTCATTCAGGTATATGAAGCCTTCGATTTGAATAGTTTTGGATTTAGCCTGTGTAAACAACGAAATCATAAGGATCCGCTTACATCTACCAAGAGCAAAACAGTGTCAGGGATCGGTCTTTGTCATGGAGATATGCTTTATCTTGTGCCGGTTAATGGTACACAGCTGTGGAATACTCCGTCAACCAGCAATGCCACTGATAATATTTCCGCAGGTACGAATTTTTCATGTAATTGGATATAACCAAGAACATTTTGCGCAAGATTGAGAAAATTAAGATTAAACGCATTATTACCAAATATGAGCAAAGATATTGATGTGATCATATTAAGCGATCATTAGTTCGGGAATAGTCACCCGGGGTTGTTTCATATCCCCACGGACAGAAAACGAAGTTCATGTCACGGTGGATTTTGTTTACTGATCGAGAACCAATGTGTACTTTCCATTTGGACATTTAGAGACCTAACCTGTGCAACAAGAATAGGCTATGACCCGTCTTATTCATATTATAAGCTTGTAAAAATACTTTGGGATACAAAACAAAGGTGATTGTTTACGTTATAAAATTAGTCAAATATAACAAGAGTTCATATTGTGAAGACAAGATGATGTTAAGTTTGAGTGAAATTATATATACCTATACACCCGATAAACGTTAAGCAATATTTATATTACATCTGATAATGATCGATAAAAATGTCCAGCAAAATAGGCAATGGTGCTATTATAAATATCTAATATTTATATTTATTGTTTGTAATTAACATATATATAGTTAACATTAACATTTATTATAAATGAAATGAATATCTTAAATTATACTTTTTATATGATGTTAAACATAAAAAATATCTATGTTAAAAATTAGAATTTTTTTTCTTTAAAAATATGTATTATGTTATACATCTATATAATATAATGAAGAATACAAAAATAAATAATTTTTTACAATCCCGAATCAATACTAATAACTTTGTATGACGGCGATTTAGCCTTGTTTTATATTCTTATAAAATGATTATTATTTAATATACTTTCAATCCTTTTTAATAATTATTCTTTATGAACCTTGAAATATCTTATTCCATCGAAAATTGGCAATAAAACAGCGCTTTTTAAATTGATATCTTTATTTATTAGAAATACTGTCATAATAAGCCACTTGATGTGCTTATTCCGGTTCTTAAATATTTTTTCGGTTCCCCTCATTAAAAAAAAAAATAGCGAGCAAATCTATATTTATAATGTCTCTAAATAATAATAAATTATGGAGTAATCGATAATATGCTATATTTTGTTAATAATAGTGGTTTTTAATTAAGGTCTAGATGACCCCAGGTAATCGTTTACGTAAAAAAAAAATAAGGGGACTATTCCCGAGTTAAGAAAAAATATGTATGTTTGCATATATATGTATACACACACACGCACACGCGTGCGCGTGTGCGTGTGTAAGTAATGGAATTATAAATTATAAATACGGGGAAACTTTTTAAAATATAAGTATTTTTTCGCTCCTCTCTTTAGACTTTATGTTATAAACTGTTTTATATGTGTGAAACGATATAGAACCAGGGTCACTGGATACCACAGGAAGTACGAATCGTACATCCGGCCTCTCACGATCTCTGCCAAATGTAATCGAGAACGATGTCGACGAGCAATTGTGGAAACTGGACGGAAAGATCCAACGTAAACGCGACGAGAAACTGTAAGTAGCTGAATTAGATGTAACTAGACAGGACAACTAGACTGTAAGTAGATAGAGGCCAAAAAATTTATAGATAGTGGTTAAAGTAACGTAAGGAAATTTGCTGTTTTACAGTTGTCGACACGGAGCAAGGGGATGCTGCGTACATTGTTCGCCTTTGGAACCTTTCGATGAAATTTATTTGAAGGAGCAGAATATCAAGCATCTGTCTTTTCATTCGTATCTCAGGAAGCTCACTGCCGGAGTTGATAGGTATGTCCGACGTATGAAAAAATGCATATTATAGTTATATACACATATATACAAAGTAGAATTGATTGTTATAAACAGAAAACAATGAAACGAAAAGGATTATTACATTTTGTAGATATATTGAGTTATTTATACGTAAAAATTAATATTATCAATGGATTCCTCTCGTCATTCTACGTACAAAAAGTAAGCACATAAAAGTATCAAGATGGTCATCGAAAGATTGTGTACCATGAGATGTTTTATACTTTATATTGAAAGTATCAGGATAGAAACTGTAAAATATTTCGAGAAATATTCGCTTTTCGATGTTCTTACTTCAGTACTTTTATATGTAGAATGACTTGTGGAATCAATTGATGTTTAAACAAACTATTTTATTATATTTTATTTTATTTTATTTAAGAATATCAAATATTGATTTTGACCTTTACAGAATATTCTCATGATAATTTATTTTTTTTGCAACTACTCGATCTTGAGAAAACTCGATATCTCACTTTGTTTAAGAGATATTCAAGTGCGTTGATTAAAATGGTACATCCTGTATTATTAATTATATTCAGTTATTTTATTGTTTTATCGACCCATTGATGGTAGAGCAAAGATATACTTTTCACAAATCGATGTTCAGTAAAGAATAGGGTAAGATTACATTTTCGAAACTTGCAGTAAAATTTTGTATCACATTATATCTTTTATTCGGTATAACAGTTTTGTGTAATTAAATAATGTCCTTCGATAATAACGAATTTTTACCGACCTTTGTATTCTGCGCAGCACAACATTAGCCACCAGTATATTAATATCTTTCGGCAAATGTTTGTATCGAAGTTTCGTATATCTAATTATATCTGATTATATCTGATTATATAGTGTCCCAGTATTCAC